GAATTCAATAATAAGAGACAGCTCAACATTTTTAGAAGCCGAACTGAGCCTAATATTTTCTTTTTATCTTTACAATTAATTTTAAAACGAGTAACCGAAAAAAGTTATTTCAAGATTAAAAGAAAAAAAACCCACAACGTCTATGATAAAAATAGAAAGGGCAAAATTGTCATGGTGCTGATTAAAAAAATTGGAGAGCACAATCCAAAAGAAAACATTAAAAAAATAAAAAATAAAAAAGGAGAGAGATAAAGAATTATTTGGGCAAAGGCACGACAGACAGGTGCAAGACCTCAGAAGAACAGAGAACTGTTTTGTGATTTGGACCCCGCTAGTTTCAGGACAAAAACCCAATGAAATAATTGAACCAAGAAAAAGAGCTTTGCTTTACCTTTGACCTCTCCCTCTCTCACGTCTCGCCCCTCCTAATGGAGTAATAGTACGCCACAGGCGAAGGCCCAGTCTAGTTTCATGACTCTGCTGCTTCCGTTTCTTATCTCTCCCTCTCTCTCTCTCTCACAGACACACGGCTACCCGGAGCTTCTCTTTTCTACATTATTTTCGTCCCTTTTCATCACTGCGAAAGCAACGACGCTAAGTGAGTTCTGATCCTTGAAATAAGGTACTCTTTTGGGCTTATCTTACTTTCCTCTTGTTGTCTCGCATTTCTCTTGATGTGGGTTTCATCTCTTTCCCTTCAATTTTTGCTTTTGGCACCTGGGTCTCCGTTTTCCTCCGAATCTGCCTCAAATTTCACTTAAATCATGGTTCTTTGATCAAGATCCATTTTTCGTTCAGTTACTCTTGATCATTTGTGTTTGGCTTGTTACGGTTATTTTACCTTTCTGAATAGGTTAAAATCTGTCCAAAATCTGCATTTTTGTGTTGGGGCCCTAACTTGATTGATGCCTATCTTGCTTTTTGTTGGTCCTCCTACTTCCCCTTTTCATTCCTTCTCTGTAAGTTTTCTTTTTTCCTTTCGATTTCACTGTTTATCTTTGGTGGGGAGGGTGTTGGGCAGATAAGAAGCTCAAGTATGTGTTTGCTAGTTTCTCCTCTCTTCCGAGCTTTGCTTGTCTGGCCATGGACTGCATGCAGCTCCACAGCTTTGTTTTCTTTTCCCTTTCTTTCTGGAGATGAAAGTCACTTGATTTACTTATCGGGAGTTAGCTGCTATAATATTTTGCTTTTAAGATTTGCTCTTTAGTAGGAATCTGAGGTTCAATTTGTTTGATTATCTTCTTGTAGTTAAGCTCTTACATGATATCTGAGCGATTCATTCAGTGGATGGTATTATATCACTGACTACTGGATCTGTTGCTATCTTATCATAAGTGTGAGTTGTTATGTGACGAGTTCATTGTGGCATGGATTTTGCCTCTTCATTAATAGATTGTTAGATCATTCTCTGCTCTGATGTTAAAGCTAAGCCGGTAGCAACATACTGAAGTAAACGACTGACAATTTCTTTTGCTTATTCTTTTTTAGGTTGTTTCTTATCATTGAAGAAATTGCAAGTGATTGGGACTACTGAGGGAAGTTACAATGCTAATGGAAAAGGATGGCCAGTCACAGATTTGGTTGGTTTGATCTGATTTAAGACCGTTTATCATATCTGATGGACTCAAAAACTAGTGCTAGAGCTCCCCAGAAACAGCATCCTAGGACATCTGGGATCCAAACAGTAGAGGCAAGAGACATCAAATCTTCTAAGACAGGCAAATCTGAACTGGCTGCGCCAGAAGATTTATCGAAATCTGTTCAGGACACATTGAAGCAGTACACTGGAGACACTTCTGAAAACAAGAAGCTAGGAATTTCAAACCCAAAGGAGTCAGCCGATTCCCTGATTAGTAAATTTGGTTCTTCTGTTTCCTTGTCTGTTAATGAACAACTATCTGGAGGAGTTGACCACGTTGTTAATGGAAATAGAAGTAGCTCTATTGATCAAGAAAAGAAAACATCAGAATATGGAAGCGTGAAGAGTAGTTCTGTATCTGCTAAAGTAAGTGATGGGGCCAGCAGCCTGGCAAAGACCAGTGGAAGTGCCAAGATTAGTGATAGAGCTGATCTTGTTGAGAGTGGCAAAAGCAGCATTTGCAGAGGAAGTACAAGTAGTGATGTGAGTGATGAGAGCACTTGCAGCAGTTTTAGTAGCAGTGTCAACAAGCCTCACAAGGCAAATGACTTGAGATGGGAGGCTATTCAAGCTGTCCGGGCTAAAGATGGGGTTTTGGGCTTAGCTCACTTTAGACTATTGAAGAGGTTGGGTTGTGGGGATATTGGGAGTGTGTATCTCTCAGAGTTGAGTGGAACTAAATGTTATTTTGCAATGAAGGTAATGGATAAAGGGTCTTTAGCAAGTCGTAAAAAGCTGCTTCGTGCTCAGACTGAAAGAGAAATACTGCAATCACTTGACCATCCATTTCTCCCAACGTTGTATACACATTTTGAGACAGAGAAGTTCTCGTGCTTGGTAATGGAATTCTGCCCAGGTGGAGACCTGCACACTCTCAGGCAGAGGCAGCCAGGCAAGCATTTTCCTGAGCAAGCAGTAAAGTATGTTTGAATTCCCTTTTTTGTCGTTAATTCTAGTGATATTTCATTTGATTATTACCTACCAATTACTGTGGAATTTTCAATTGTTCCCTTGGTTTGCTTCTAAGAATCAAGGGCCTATGGTTAATTCTCCACCATAAGAAAGTGCTTGATTCTACAGTTTATGCTTGTAAAATTCATACTTCTTCTCTTTCATCGAGGCATGCAAAGTTCTTAGACTTGAACGTTTTATATTCTTGGAAATGAGAGAACGTAAATACAACAAACCCCATATATTGTGCCAGCTGTATGATTATGCTGTATCTTTTGGTGCGTGTCTATAATTCATTGATCTTTGGAGAACAATAGGCATAATTGGCTTTGAAAGCTAGGTATTGTAGAAGTTTTCAGCCATGATAATTGCTGCTGCATATTATAATTGTATTACAATATGTAATTAGGAAAATAGTCTGGGCATGCATTCATTGTTCATCTATCTCAGGAAAGTTGTGGAAGGTGGATTCTAAATATACGGAGAGGCTTGTTGCTATGGTCATAAGAAAAGCAAGCTAGAATTATGGCATTACATACGGGTCTCATATCCCCCCAAAGGAAATGTATTTAAAATCACAGTATATATCATTTGCACTTCATTTTTATGCTTTACATCCCCTTGATAATTTCTTAAACTACTGATGTTAACAATGGGATCGTTAGCTGTGTCTCCATGCTGCTCTGCAGATGGATTATTGCACTATCTGTGTTCACTGTTCACTGGGCTTGTCCATAATTTACAAAATCTAAATTCACCTAATATGGATCATCATCATCATCATTATTTTTTTGTATGGGGAGGATGGTGGTGGAGGTTGAAATCATGGTTTTAGAACCCATGTATTTGAGTTCATGTTTAATTTTGTCGTCTCTTCCTCCTCCCCTGCTCCCCTCACCCCTCCAGGCGTGGGTCTTCTTATTCAGCTGTATACGAAATCCCATAATTTAATCTAAAAAATTTCTGATTTCAGATTCAGCTCTTGACGTGCATATTTGAAAGCCATTATGTAACTGGAGTCTGATAATGTATACCACCTAGAGATGCAATCACTTTTGCTTCTAGCCTAGATACAACACTGCCTAGTGAGATGTGATTTGGATTTGATTTGATGGTAACCGCTTCTATTTTACTGTTAAATGGCAGATTTTATGTGGCAGAGGTGCTGCTGGCGTTAGAGTATCTCCACATGCTTGGCATTGTCTACCGTGATCTCAAGCCAGAAAATGTCCTTGTTAGGGATGATGGACATATTATGCTTTCAGACTTTGACCTTTCCCTCCGATGTGCTGTTAGCCCAACACTTGTTAAAGGTTCTGTCATGGAATCTGATCCTTTAAGAAAGAATCCTGTGTATTGTGTGCAGCCTGCTTGTATTGAACCGCCTTCCTGCATCCAGCCATCCTGTGTTGCTCCTACAACATGCTTTTCACCTCGGCTCTTTTCTAGCAAATCAAAGAAGGATCGGAAACCCAAAACTGAAATTGGAAACCAAGTGACTCCATTACCCGAGCTCATTGCTGAGCCCACCGATGCACGATCTATGTCATTTGTTGGAACCCATGAATACTTGGCACCTGAGATCATCAAGGGAGAAGGTCATGGGAGTGCAGTTGATTGGTGGACTTTTGGGATATTTCTATATGAGCTTTTGTTTGGTAAGACTCCTTTCAAGGGTTCTGGGAACCGGGCTACATTGTTTAATGTTGTAGGCCAGCCTCTTCGATTTCCAGAGGCACCTGTTGTAAGTTTCGCAGCAAGGGATCTCATAAGGGGGTTGCTTGTGAAGGAACCACAGCACAGGTTGGCATATAAACGAGGCGCCACTGAGATAAAGCAACATCCGTTTTTCGAAGGTGTGAATTGGGCACTTATTCGCTGCGCTACCCCACCAGAGATCCCAAAGCCTGTAGAGTATGAGAAGATACCTTCCCCAGCCTCTTCAGCTGGCGAAAAGGCTGGCAACCATATGTCAATTCCGGATCAGAAAGGTTCTGGTAATTATCTTGAGTTTGATTTCTTCTAGTGTTAGAGACAGAATATTGATGATTATAAAATGGTTTCTGTTGAAAAGGGGGAGGAACTGTTTTTCAATGTTTAAAGAACAGATGATGAGGAATTGTATGTTTGGTTTTTTGTTGGCTGTTTTCATTCTCAAAAGATGTATGGCATATAATTAATGCATAGCTTCTCTGTCATCTGTGAAAAGCTCCAAGGAAAATGTCCCTTTTAACTAGCAACGTCGTCTTAAAGCTCAATGCCTATGTCCCTAAGATGAAGCAATTTTAGATGTTTCCGTGAAACTCAACTGGGTAGAATTCTGGCTTGTAATCACTTGACAGACATTCATTGATTGAACAGGACAACACTGAATTGGAATTAGAACATTCTGTAACTCCTACTCTTCATAGCATATTCACAAAATCCCGAAAAATCAAATCACTCTTTCATTTTATCCATACTAAGATTTTAAAATTAATGATAAAATGACATTAAGCAGGTTTAAGAATAAAAATGTCGTTTTATGTATTTATTTCATCCTATAGAAATACTAGTTTTGAATTGAATGATGGTTGAGAAAGTGACAATCAAAATAAAGTTGAGATTGCGCAAAGTGACTATGCTGATTGTCTCCATTATTTCACCCCGAAGCAATATCTGCATCTTCTTACCCTCGAGAAAGGCGTGATTTCATCTTCCTTTCCCTATGTTGTCAGCTTATTTTCGAAGCTACCGAAACGGATTTTGGCATCACGGATGTTTCAGTGTTCCCAACAAAGAATATCATGGATCCTCCAAGAATGATTGAATGTCTCCGTTCAACCTATCAAATTGATACGCTTTTCCACAAGATTCATCCTCGACATTCTACTTGTTCATAATTACATATACTTTTCTTGTTGACAAACCCTAGCGCGTCTAATTCCCCGATCTAAAACTCTGATCCTCGACGATTATTTTCTCGCTTAAATTCGGAGTCACCTCAACTTCTTGTAGGGAACAATACGACTAGCTTCATGTTCTTCCCGTGAAGATCTGGGGGTGCCGCTTTGGCTGGAACGCGGCGAGGCAGCCCCAACGATGTCATAAATAACGTCCTTTCCTTCGCATATGATCTTAACGTCGCAGTTCTCAGGCGCTTTTTTCACTACGTCACCTGCTATTGCTTTTTTTCTGCGAGACACCGTTTTTCTGCAACCAATCAAAAATTAGAAATTATATGTTTTAGCTTATTCCATTAAAAAATCATTTACTTTTTTAAAATTTATTTTGTGAGTTCTTATTTTATGTTTTTTAAACTTTTAAAAATAATCAAAATTTTTAAAAAAATATTTTTTAATTATTTTAAAAAGTTACTTTTAAAAGCAATTTAATGCGATAAATGAGAGAGAATGTGTGCGAAAATATCATAAAATTTTAAATTAATATAATAATAAATTATTTTTATAAAATAAAAATAAAAAAGATATTATAAAATTTAAAAATAACTAAAAAATAACCAGTTTTTTATTATTGTAATGTCTGTTTTTTATAAAATTTTTACAAAATAAATCTCTCTTTATAAAATTTTTAAACTAATGAAAAATCACTTATTTTTAAATCTTAAACAAACGGGCCCTAGAACATATACAAAGAAGCAGAAATTTTAAGAGAATATTCATAAAGGATCTTGGAATTAGTTTAATTTCATAAAATGGCTCATAATAAGTAAACAATAGTGAAGTTCTTGTTTTATATTGTTCATTGATATCCTCCTTTTTTTTTTTATCATAATAAGTAAACAATAGTGAAGTTCTTGTTTTATATTGTTCATTGATATCCTCTTTTTTTTTATAGAAAAAAAGAGACGAATGAAGAGTAAAGTTAAAAGCATTGTTTTCTTTTAAAAAAATATTTTCATTGTAATTTAATCTTTCAACTGGTTGTTTCTGTGTTTTTAGATTATTCATATTGAGAAATTAATCCACGCCATTCTCACAAATAATTGGGGGAGGAAATAACTTTAAGGAACTACAACAAACTTTGAGTTACGTGGATATAACCCATTGTTTTCTTTTTCTCTCTCTTTTTTTTTGGGCCAGAATGCACATAACCCATTCGAACTTAAAATCATATGCATCACTTAATGACATTACATTACTTAAATTAAAAAATCTGAGAAATTATTGTCAAGTAATAAAAGTCATTAAATTGTTTATATGCAATAATTTAAAACCTTAGCTTACTAGTATTGTAAAACACTATCTGTTTTTATTAAGAGAATTCATCAATATCAATGTGTATCTCAAAATCATTGCAAGTATAAGAAACTTGCACGTTTATGGCATGTTTGTTACCTTAGATTAGATTTGGTAATTCCGAGGACCAATTTTCGGACGCCTACGTTGTTGATGACATCCACAATGCTTTTAGCAACGTTATCGCCTTCATTAAGTATCGTCTCCACCTTAACCTGTATGTTTCCAATTCAGTTTTGGCATATAGAATCATAAATTAAATTAATCTTATACATTTATTCAGTTTTAATTTAAAATTGAATAATCGTATGAGCTGATTCCCAAAAAAACAAAGTTTGGTGACTAGTCCTTCGGCATCTCCGACCATAAAAATGTTAAGAGTTTGCCCTGGCCTTTTAAGGGCCTTGTCAATATGGGCTTCAGACTCATTAAGAAAGAACTAAGATGGCCCAAATTATTTCTACAATATATATAATAAAATGTTATTATATATATATATATATATATATGAAAACGAGCTGTTTATGAACCAAAAAAGGCAGAACATTGAGTGTTTTTGAGCTCAATTTGTTTTATTCAACAACTTTTAGGGAGTTGATATACTTTAATGCTTTACCATAATTGATTTAATTAAACAACTTTTATTTTAATGAAAACTGTAGTTAAACATATCAGTAATTATATGAAATTGTATTATTTATAAAGTATGAATAATATGATTTTATGAATAATATGATTTAGGAGAAATTTAACTTTACATCGTTGTACTATATTGGAGTTTTGCTATAAATTTCTATACTTTTTTTCAATATTTTAGGTTCATATACTCATTTTTTTTTAATATTTTAAGTTCTTATAACATTACTCATGGAGAGATCTAGAATATCAAAAAGCAAAAGTATAGAGACTTAAAATATTAAAAAAGTATAAAGATTTATAACAAAATTCAAGTAAAGTGCAATAATTTAAAATTATATTTTTTCTGTAATTTAGTTTGAATTTCACGCAAAATACAGTTAAGTGGTGCATTACCTGGGAAGCAAGGCACAAGTCAATGAACCTTTGAAGAAGGCGTTTCCTCTTACATTTGTGTTGGTCTAAGTAGAGATTGACGTGCGGCTTGTTTACATGACTCCTTGGAAGTTTTCCCACTGCCATTAAATTACGTCATTTTAATTAATTAATTATACAGACTAATATTAATGCATATGCTTCACATATATTTGCATTTATATGTCAACCATATGTACATTCAATATTTCCCTTGCCTTCCAAATTGTCTTGTCGTCTTCACATAGCCCATGGGGGCAAACTCTTATTCGGCACCAAAAAATGTATTTTGTCAAGTATATAGATTTTTAAGAGCAAAAACAAAAACCTTGCGTGCTTGACCATAAACCTTTACTCTTCTGAAATGAGAAGAGATGACCATTGACTTCCAAACCCATCTTAACTTTTAGATAACGCTCAATACTAACTGCTCTTGAAAATCATCACAAAAACAAATGGACCAGAAAAAAGGTTACTCTCTCAGCCCCATATAATGGGTCTAAACATGTATGTCTAATAAAATCACAAAATTATTTTAAAAATAAATATAATTTTAAATCCTTACACTTTACTTACATTTTATTATATGTCTTTAAACTTTTTTTTTTGTATTTTGAGCTTTTACATTTTATTTTTTAATATTTTAGGTCCTTTTAAGCTTCCTATATTCATTTAGGGACTTATAATATTAAAAAATAAAATTATAAAAACCTAAAATATTAAGAAAAAGTGTAAGGATCTATAGAGCAAAGGTCAGGGTTCAAAGTTATGTTTTTCCTTATTTTAAAATCTCATGTCCTTTACTTACTGAAATTATCAATTACAACTAATAGTTATTAATCAACAGAACAACTCAATTAACAAATCCAGTATTAATTGATAACTTCAGTAAAAGAGATTCAATTTTAGAGTGATTTTCTAATTTCATGGATTTTTTGTATTTGGATTCATTAGAAGGGAGTTGAGATTGATTTTAAAAAAAAAATCCTAAAATGAAATGACCTAATATGAACCAAAATTGTAGAGAAACTGAGAAACACATAAGCTAAAAAATGATAAAGAAAGAGTTATAATACACTTACAGGGACTGGGAATGAGCCTAACCAGAGGGAAGACGTGAAGAAGACAAAGCGTAGTGAAAGGTGTGATCCAGTGCTTCAACGTCCATGAAAGTGCTTCGAAGCTCGACTTATCGCCATGTTTGCCCACACACACATGCACAACATCATTCCAGTTCCGAAAATCCAGAGAGAACACACTACTCTCACAGTCTTCTTCTCTTATCGGTTCCAAACCCTCCTCGTTCGGACCCTGTATACCGAACAGCGAATCCGAATCTGAATCCGAATAACGTCCTTCTTCTTCTTCTTCGTATTTGTCTTCATTTATAGCCTTCTCGTTGTCGGCAACTAAACTGTAATCATCAAATACCTGGTTTCTCTTCTTGAACCCTCTGAAACCGCCGCCATGGCTGGGGCAGTTTGAGATTTCTTCAGCTGATTCATCGTTTGATTGCGTTTGCTCTGACATTTTCATGCAGATTGAGTTGCTTACTGGAAGTCGATGTGGTTGATTGATGGATTTATTATCCTGAATGGATCGTGTTGTACGTTGCGATGTTTGGGAGATTCTGATGAACCGGGTCAGACGATGCGAGAGTTGAAGGATTTACGGAATACGGTTAGAAGAAGAAGCTTCAGATTTATTATTTTGACTTGTTTTTTTTTTTTTGGTGCCATATTATTATTATCTGCCTTTTTTCTTGGTTTTATTCTGCTTTCACACTTCTCATATTGACATGACGTAAACCATTTTAATATATTACGGTACTGAGCTTTTGGTGGTTAGTTTAAAATAGTGAACTATGTAACATTGTAACAGACTATAATGTGTGCATTGTCCTACTATATGAAAATCCGATTCAATTTGCTCAATTAAACTAATAAATTATTAAATTAATATTTTAATGACTGATCGATTTAATAAAATATTTTACTTATAACTATTTTAATTACAGTTCAATTATTGTTTTAATCATTAGCACTTGAATTAATTCATTCAATAAACGATCCAATTTTTAATGTTCGGCATTATCAATTCAAAGAGTAAGTGGTACATTTTTTTTTTTTGGTGGCCAAAGAAAGAAACAAAAGGATTTTTTTAATTCGAATTATATGGATTTTATTTTTATATTTAAAATAATAAAAGGTTGAGGTGACTTGAACTTTTTTTAATTTGGAGATGCACTAATAATGTTTATAGAGTCAAGGACAACTTCAAAAAGGACGTGACGTTGCATCTCTGTTAAAAATTTCAGTTAGTTTCATAGTTAGTTAATAGACAATACAACAGAAAATGCTCCAAAGAAATTACAAATAAATCTTTTATTAAAAAAAATTGGTACTAATAATTGAGTCCCAAAATCATAAATAAATGTCAAAGGATTAATATGATTTCTTTTTCAATTAAAATATTAAAATATCATATTGACCAATTACCAAGTGATTATCAATTCATCATTGTTATCAACAACACCGATAAGTAATTAAAAAATTATTATTATTTTTATAATATATTTTTAAAATATTAATACTTTAATATTCAATAACTTAAATAATATTATTATTCATTACAAATTTTCACATATAATTTACAAGTTAACTTTTAAAATTTGCTAATCATTCATAACTTTATAACATAACATATGTTGTGATTTAAAAGTGAATGTGTTTTGTTGCACTAGTGGTAAATTTCTAAATGAGAACTTGTAAATTTTAGAAGATTTATAAACTATCGGACATTTACTTATAAATCACAAATACACTATTTAAATTTTAGAATTTTAAATCTTAAAAATTAATTTTATATGTTTTTAAATAAAAAATATGATATTAAATAATATTTATGCAATAAATTATAATACGTTAGAACTTAAAAAATTACATACGTATACAATTAAAGAATCATAGTTTAATATAGAACAGGCAGGGATATTTTTTTTTGAAAAAATAATAATAAAATTCATCTAAAATATATAAACGATAATTTAGTCCCTTGAAATGTCATAATTTTCTAAAATTCATAGCGACTTTTTTGTCATTAATGAGTTCATATAAATTATCAAATTATCCTTGTTAAAAATAAATAATTCACAACTTTTATTTTTATATTGACAACAATATAATAACAATAAGGAATTGAATATGCAAAGTTGTGATGTACTATTGCATTGTTGTGAGTGTAAGAAAAAAAGTTGTGAATATAAGAAGGAAAGTTATGAATCATTTATTTTCAACAAAGATAATTTAATAATTTATATAAATTCATTAATAATAGAAAATTCCTTAAAAATTTTAAGAAAAAATAGCATTTTGAGAGATTAAATTATTATTTATATATTTTATTATTATTTTTTCTATTTTCTTCCTCCCTTTTGCCTCTTCGTCTTTTAAAGTACTGCATGTAAAACAGAAAAGAAATTAGACGCTTGATTTGCTGAAACACGCCTTATGTATGCTAAAATAAAATAAGGGCGAATTAAATTATAGCTTTGAAGTTTGAATTGTTGAAAAGCATATAAAACAGAATATGCCTTTTTGCCTTGTGATAATCATTTAATAAATAATAATCCAAATCAAGTCATGCTTATATCACTCTTAAACATAAATTAATTTAATTTTGTGATGATGTAATTCGCTCTCTAGTCTTTACATAACGCAAGCTTTTCTTTTTCATACCCTCAATATGTTTTTGTTTTTGTTTACATTTTAGTATTCCCTAACATTGAGAGAACAGAAACAACTGAGTTTGATTGATTATTAAAAATGGTTGCTGATGATGTCTAAATCATATTTTTATTTGGACAAAATAAAATATAATATTGGCCAAAAAATATATAGGTAGGAAAGCCTATTACAAAATAGCAACAAAAGAATGGGAGAAAACTATCTCTGATCAATAAAAAACCATAATGCTGCTTTTGTTTTTTAAGTGTTGTTTAATGTGCTTGTAAAAAAATTGTATAATGATGCATGTATGTAATATCTTACGCGTGCGCACTTCTAAAGTTTTTAAGATTTTTTTTTTTTTTTGCCTGACATTTTGGTTAAGTCTGTATAGCAATAATGTAATGTAAATAAATTGCACTGGGGATTGATTTCGTATGTTTGGCATGGCAATATTAGTATATTATGATTTGAGATTATTTAACTTATATTTGAGTAGTATTTGTTTATTATTTTTTGTCATAATTTAAATTTGAATTGAATAAATGTATAAATATTTGGACTGCAATTCCCTGCTTGTGCTGTGCTTTACTTTAAAATGTTAAGGTAGATTTTTGCCTCTTAACTATATTCAAAAGGTTACAGGAGATCCTAAACTTAATTATAAGTTAATTTTATTTATTAACTTTAAAAATTTTTTTTCTTATCACCCTATCATTTTCTAAACGGTAGTTAATCATTAGTGAACTCTATATTATATTTTTTTAATATTTTTTATTATAAAATATTTGAGTTGATGATATCTACTAATCATTCAAATAAAAGTTAATGGGCAAAAATGATCCTTAACCAAATAAAAATATTAAAAAAATAGGACTCACTAATAACTAATGAATGTTAAGTGTTTTTAACATCAAGGTAATGAATAAGGGAATCTTTAATGTTGATAGATATAATTAACTCATAGTTAAATTTAGAATTTCTAATGGTCCTTTGGGTAAAATTGAGAAACAAAAATGACCTCTAACCCTATTTTAAACACAATTTCTCATTCATTTATTTATAAATTGCTGTTAGTCTTAATCATTCTTGTAACCATTATCTAGCAATTGGATTGGATCTAACAAAAAGGACTAGTCTTTTATAATGTGATGAATAAAATTTAAATCTCGCTCACATTTAGTACTTGATTGTATCTGAAATAGGATTTCACCTTTGCTCAATTAAAAAAAAAACACAGAAAATTAACTTGTAATCACTTTTATATATCTGCATGTGATGAAAAAATATATTTTTTTTGTCAATGATATTAATCATGCTTTGATATGTTATACATAAATATATATGATGTAAATCTAAATTTAATAAATGAAATTGAATTTAAAGAAAAAGTGTGACGAGTTATTTTCTCAAGAAGAAATGCGTTGAAACATGATTTTAAAGTTGATCATGAATTGTCATTTAACTAATCTGTCACACTTTCATGTTTGTTTATCTGTCATTTAAGGTTTCACGATTTATCATGTAAATTAAGAAATGAAATTAAGATGTCATAAGTCAGTGGGTAAATGAGCAAATCATTTCTTAAACTTTAGGTTTAGTAACACCATAGGCCATAAACTCGTTCATTGTATAAATTATTCTCTTAATTTTTAAAAATTGTGTAATTTGACTCTTGACATTAACAAAAGTTAATTTTAACTATTAGTTGACTAGAAAATAATAAAAAATAACCTTAAAATTATGGAAAAAGACTGAAAAATTATAATAAAGTATCCAAAAATTACAGACTAGAATATAAAAATTTACATAAGAGGATTAATAATTTTTTGTCCTTTTGTATAATTTTTAAAGTTATTTTCTAATCAACTAATAGTTAAAGTTAACCTTTTGTTAATATCAAGGGATGAATTGTACTATTTTCAAAAGTTGAGAGAATAATTTACATAATAAACAAGTTTAATATTTATGATGCCACTGAATCTAAAATTTAAGGGGTAATTTATTCATTTACTCTTAATCATATTTCCTTTTAATTTTCCTAATTATTTTGGTAAATAATGTTATCTTGGTCATCTAAAGTTAATGAATTTTCTTTCATTGTGATAGTTGAAAAGAAACGAAGGTAGTATTTTATTACTTCTCAATTAAATTTCATTTTCTATGCAAATGTATGTACGAATAATTAACATCATAAATTTCTGGTCATTTGTTAAAAAAAAAAAACTCTTGACATGCTGACAGTGAAATAATGAACTAATTAATTAGTGGTTGGAAGATTATCTACGCAAAATAGAAATTACAAATGGGTTTATTGTCAAATTAAGTTTAACATATCTACACATAATTCAAAATCTAAGGAAATTATATGCATTTCATCATTTAACAAAAAAAAAAAAAATGGCATTGCAGGCAATGCTTCGCTGAAGCTGACCCAAGAAAAATAACTTAGACATTCTTTATGCCAATATTTTATTTGAAAAAAAATAGATATATGAAGCTGACCTTTTATTTTTAAAATCAGTTTTAATTATTTTTACACATTTATTTCTTTTTCATTGTATGTAGCAAGATATCTAATATGTACTTTTTGAAAGTAATAAATGAACAAGAAAATGACAAGTAAAGATTTTATAAGAATATTAATATCAAATTAAAAATTTTAATAATGAAATATGATAGAAGGAGTACTAATATTTGAGAATGTTAATCTTAAAAAAAATTAATTTGACAGTAATATTATTATTAAGTTCTTATTTGTCATTCTCCCTGAATGAACTATGAAATCCCAAAGCTATATGCTATTGCACATAGAAGAAAAATATGCTCTGAAACTGAACTAGTTGAAGCTTAAAGCATCAGTATTCAAACCAAAATACAAACACATAAAAAATGCACAATTAATGAACACAACAAATACATGCCTACACACACACACACACACACATATTTTATTTATACTTTAATCAAAATGATACTGATACATCGTGTCTATTACAAGTATTTAACACACACGTCGAATACTGATATGTAAATCCTTTTTTTAGGCCTGACAAATCTCTTAAAGCATGTTATATACGTACAAGGTTCATGGGTTTAAGCTTAAATTACAAGAAAAGTAGTCATCTAAACATGGGTTTAAAACAATTACAAGAAACAGGACTATTTTGACGATCTTGTTCTTTCATTGACATGGACGATCGAGTCATCTGATCATCGTCTTCATTATTATTAGCACCATTAGTGGGTCGAGGGGAAGGAGCATGAGGGGAAGGAGACATGATGGTCAACATTTGTTCGTTGACTTCTTTGGCTTCACTTATGATTCTGACTCTGCAACTTTCCGGTGAATTCTGCAGAATCTGATCTGCTATCCCACTATTCCCCCTCCTTGATCTTGATTTTCTGTTCATCCCAACAATCAAACATGAGGCAAGTAAAATGGCGGGGAATTAATTAAGAGCATACTCCTTTGCACCATGATATTTTGATATATAGCTTCTAGAAGTTTTGGTTAATTTAAAATATAAGATATTAGATAATTTTTATAACTGTTTTTTAAGCTATATCTTAGCTTAAGTTTTTTACTGTTCATTTTTGGAAAAAATGTCTTATAATATAAAATTGAAGGGGTAAATTTTTAGAGAGAGCCAATAATTTTGATTTTTCTTAATTTCAGTAATCATATTGAAAATAATTTATAAATAAGATAGGAATACCTTAGATTGGATTTGTTGGTTCCAATGACAAGATTCTGTATGTTAAGAATGGGAATTAGGTCAAGAATTGCCTTTGCAACCGTGTCACTCTCAATCAAGATGGTGTCCACCTTAACCTGTTAATTGATCCAACAAACCTCTATTTAAATTGGCATGCAAGTTAATTAATAAAATAATAAATAGGTGTTTAATAATTGGATTAATGAAACAATTATAAGGACCTGGGAAGAAGAGCATAGTTGGAGGAACTTGTGAAGGAGCTGTCTTCGCTTGGCTCTTTCCTGAGCCTCATAGCTCTCAACCTGCTCAGCACTCACTTGGTTCTTTGGAATCATTCCCATTCCCACTATCATCACAATCACATCATTTCATAACTCAACTGCTAATATTGCACACAAAAACACCACCAAATTTATTCTTTAAAAAATAATTAAATTGGCATTATTAACTAAAATATGTTCATGTATCTGAACATAACTGGGGATAAGTCATATTATTGATGACTTGTAAATAATATGATTTACTATTAACAAAATTGATGTAAAAGAGATTTTTTTTAAAAAAAAAATGACTTCTTAGATTGAACATGCCTTTTGTTACTCAAATGTAAAAAATAAGTAAAAGAATTTCCTATAAATACGCAAATGCAATTTCTCACCAAAATAGTTTTCTTTTCCCTTTTGTCTTCCGTTTGGTGAGGAAAAAAATAACAAAAAAAGAACATTAGGAGGAAAAAACTTTTTAAAATAATAAAAAATTATTGTTTTTGAAAATTTTTCTTCTTAATTTTCTCTCATCCCTACTTACTTTTCATTTTTCTCTCCATCTAAATCAAGCTTTAAGAAAAATTCAACCTAGTATCTTACCTATCTCAGCTCTTGTCGATCTCTTATGAATAATGCTGAATCTTACCAAACTTGTTTATCGTTCACAAATAACATCGGAGGGGAAGCACGACAAGGTTTTTACCTTTGAAGATTTCACCAATTTCCCGAAACCCATCAAAGATTTCTTAAATCAACGAACATGTAAAAAAGAACTCACAATTAAAAAAAAAAAGCATGCTTACGAAAATATTCAAAAATTATTAATCAAAATATCTTTAAAAAAGCTACTTCTAATTCGGCATGATAACTTGAATCTAATTTAGTCAGATAATCATAAAAAAAAAGTAAAAACACAATTATCAATCTCTATAATTTTATTGAATTTTACTCTTAGTCCCCGCAATTTTTCAGTATTTTTAATCCTTATAATTTCATAATTTGTTATCTAAATCACCATAATTTCAATGTTTTCAATAAAAACAAACACTAGAAAAAAAATATCAAGAATAAGAGCAAAGTTTAGTAAAACTATAAGGTTTATTGAGCGTCTTTTTCCTAAAAAAATTCATGAAATCTTTTACTATAAAATTTAAACCTCTCACCCAAGAAACCAAATCCTTCAGATGAAATTTCTATGGACTTGATGAGGGCCGAGGAGATTAAATATCGATGGACTTAAAAAAGAGTCCAACATATGAGGATGGTTGAAGGGATCGAATTTCAATGGGGTAGGCCCACACTAACCCTATGGAGGTCCCCCACTTTGACAAGATGTGCACTCAACTACCCTTGAAACACACAAACAAACAAGCCAGCATCTTAGGCCTCGTACCAGCTTGCCCAACACAGAAAAAACATGTCCCCATGCCAAATCTTGTTTGGCACTGGTAATCTCTGAGGGGGCAAACACTTATTTTTAAAAAAGAAAAAATTACATACAACTCCCAAGTTAAAAAAAAAATTCTAATAAAATTCCCTAAAGTTGAGTTATTACTAATAAGTTCTCCAAAAAAACACATAGAATAAATTATAAAATGTAAATTTCTTGATTTGATTCAAGCATATTGGAGGAAGACTTGTACAAAATTTTCTCCATCATGTACAATTGTTTTCTTCTAATATTTGTAAGTCAAATTGAGAGAGTCACAACTTATCATATATGCAAATAATTCAATTTCAAGGAACTGAATTTTCTACAAATTTCCCCCCTTTTATAACAATCCTTATTTCGTTACAATTTTTTCTCCAAATAAATATTCTCCATCACGCACATTTTTTCTCTGATTAAATGAATTAATCTGGAAATGAATTGAAGAGTGACAAATAAGAGAAAGAAAATTGTGGCTTACATGGATTAGGAATGTGTTTGATCTCAGGGAAGACGTGGATGAGATAGACCATGGTAGAAGGAGAAGCTATCAGGTGCTTGAGCGTCCACGAAAGAGCCTCCATGCTCGTCTCGCTCTTCCCCACTCCAACATACACACAGTCCTCGTCAACCCCCACCGCCGACGCCGCCGCCCAAGACCCACGGTGGTTCTCCTGCAGCTCCGACGACCTCTCCTCCTCTATCTCCCACAGACCGCCGCCGCCACCAACGCCGCCCTGGCTAAACATCTGGGCGTTGCCGTCGTGATTCATGGCTTCATCAGAATACTGACGGCACTGAATTGGCTCGCTTAATATTGTCGACATAACGAGAACATATATGCATACATATATGTGTGTGTGTGTGGATCTGTGTGAAGTGATATTTTGGTTGTTGGTCTGAGATGGTTGGTTCTAGTTTTCTCTCTCTACATATGGAGGAGAAGGTAATGGAATAGAACAGAGTGCGGCGTCTCTGTTTTCTTTGACGTTGAAGCTTTTGGACTGGGAGAAATAACAGAAGCTAAACACATATATAGGCCGATATGCTGTAGGCGCAGATTTCCAAGGACACCAGGCCGGTTTAACAAAATTATAAATTATAAATTTGTCTGTAGATTAAATTTGTAGACTGTCTCTGTTTCCCACGGTTTGGGTTCATTATTCTAAGTCTACCATCTCAACCGTTGAATTTATATTTAAACGGTTGGGATTTAATATGTTAAAAAATAATTTTTATTTTTTAATTATAATTCTAAATCTTGAATTGTAGTTTTAGATTGAAAATAAATTTAATGATTGAGATAAAAAGTAAAAAAAAAAAATTGGAGAGAAGCTAGGTTTTTTAATGAGTAGTCATTTGGTTCTTTTTATAAATTATTTTCATCAATCTCATCAATACTAATGTAAAAAAGTATAAGGAATAAAAGTGTATAAAATTTTAAATATGCCCTTACATAATAAATTTAAAAAGTGATGTTATATTACTTAATTATCTTATAAAGGATAATTTTAAAAATATTTTTTAAATATTACCTAAAAAACTGTACCATGATTTATAAATACAATCAAATAAAATTTCTAGAAAGTGCTTTATAAATGGAATCGGAGGGAGTACTGCATCACACAATAATTACCATTAATTTAATTAAATAATTGTTAGAAATTGTATCATATGATATCTAAAAAAATACAAATTTTTAAAATTTTGGAGGGAAATAGTGCTAGTTAATAACTATAATTAAGATACTAATTAAATAAATAGCTTTAAGTCACTTATGGAATTCAAATCTATCTAATTACATTTTCACTCTAGATTTTTGACTCGCACAGGTCGAGAAAATGGATTATAAATCCATTGTTTTATGGATTCTATACTTCTAATTCTTTTTTAATACAATTTATACTTCTAATTCTAATTTGAGAAATTTTCTTACAAACTATTCAATATTTAAAATTACATTAAACTCCAACTAATATGACTTCATGTCCAATTAATTGAATTTCGAGTGCAGGTAATTCTTTTAAAACCATTTTTTTCCATTTAAATAAATTTAAACTTGAAACTTCTTAATTATTTTTTAATCAACCATTAAAAATAAACGCTCAAATTTTATTACTATAAAAATTATATTAGAAAGCTAAGTACCCCATGTTAGATCATTTTATAACACCATGTTAGATCATTTTATAACTTCTTCTTCTTCTTAATTATTTCTTCTTCTTTTGATGAAAATTTTATAATATTTTTAATTTTAGGGAGAATTTAGTTAAGGATTAGAAAAGATATTTAATTTCAAGTGAGTCCAAATCAATTTAGGAGAAAAAAGTTAAAAGAATTTTGATGGTAAAAAAATTAAAATACCCCTCACATGTTACACATGATTATTAGTTATTAATTTTTTTATTGTGCTTATTAATTTGTTAATATTACTTATAAATTAAATTCATTTGTCAGACAATCAATAACATTAGTTGTTAATTTATAAATTTTACTTGTTAATTTATTAATATCAATTATAAATTATAAGACCTATCAATATCTATAACTTATGTTGTTAAATTATAAGATCTATCAATAATTTATAAATGATATTAGTAAATTAATAAATAAAGTTAACAATTTAACAATTAATGTTACTGCTTATAATTAAAAAATTGATATTAAATTTTATATAATTATTGAGATGTCAACTCTTATAATTTACAACTCATATTCATAAATTAACAGGTAGAATAAGAAAATTAATAATTAGTAATTCTGTAAAATAAGAGAAGGACATTTTGGTATTTTCATGGTCAACTTTTTTGTCTCTCTCAAATCAAACTAATATTTCATAATATTTTTAAACCCGCTTAAAATTAAATCTCTTTCCTTATTTTTAACTTAAATTCTCTCTTGTTTATATATATATATATAGGGAGGGAGGGAGAACCATACGATTACAAATGGTTCGACTTTCGAGAAATTACGGTCGATGACATATAATGCACAATTATTGGTATCTGAAATATTTTTAAAAATAAAAATATCTTATCTCACGCCTTTGCAAATTCCTTATCCCTTCGTACGTATTTATCTGAATAAATTGCATTTTTTTAAATTTTTGCAAAAGCAATTTTTTATGGTAGAATTTGCAAATTTAAGAGATTTGTCTTCAACCATATCTTTTATTTTTTTTTATTATGAAATATCTACGCAAACTTCTCTAAATATTATTTTGAACTAAGTTTTTTACATCATAACTGAAACTACCATATGCATTGCATATAAATAAGCTGCAATAGTTAGTGAATGACAAGATTTGTCATAAATGTAACATTTTATATTAAATATTGACATATTAATGTGGATAAGTTGACATTTTGTGCAAATTATTTGATGCTACAAAGCACGCTTAAGCAGAGGAGGATTTAATAAAATAAATATATTGAACACTAACTTTGACAAAACATTAAACAAAACTCACATTTTCTTTTAAAAAATATGGCAAAAGGAGATTCAATTATATACTAGCTTATCACGATATTAATTTTATTTTTACTTCATTTAATATGAAATTATTTTCTCTATTTAATATTCACTAAGACAAGACTTAGGTACTTTTATCCAATCAAATAAAAAACAAGTAGATTTTAATACATTAATAATATTAATAACAAGAGTTTGTTATAAAATAAATAGTATATAAAGGATACATGTCATTATTTAATTAAAAATAAGCACCTCAAGTATATAAGGTTAAGTGTATAAGTTTTTTCTATTATATGACACATTTTAATTTCTTTATAAAGACATTTTTTGTGTTAATCAATGATTAAAAAATCGGATCAAACGGGACAATCAGACTAGTTGAATTGTTGTCTAGTTAGGCTAACGACTCAGTCAAATTGAAAAAAAGTTTGGGGAGTTGGGCTGGATTGGACCGCTTTGGATCGGTGGTCGGATTGAGAATCAGGATCAAGCCAAGAATCAAGTTCAGTTTTTAAAAATTAGTATGTTCAAAAAAATACCCTTTTTCATTTTTTATCATTTTTTTAGAAGATGATTGATTTTTTAAAATCATTTGATGTTATAGTATATCATATGGCTTGTTAAATCATAATAAATTTAAAATATTTGGTTTTAGTTTTAAGTTAAGTAACAATTTCATATTTATTTCTTATATTTAGATTATTATATACATATAAAAAAATTTAAATTTAATTGTTACATTATCAATTCAACTATAGGTCAAACCCGGTTGGATTATGTGAACTGTTAACCATTGGCCTTTCTGATTCAATATCTGGTCTGATTCTGAAAACATTAGTATTACTATTAATATGTTAGAATTGTTTCAAATTTTGTTGGCATACTGCCATACCCTTAATTTATTTTAATACATAATGTTGCCTAATACTTTAAAAATTGGTGAGATAATATTACAAATAAAAAATATTAATTAATAATCTTTTTCTTTGGAAATGACGAAGGAGGTAAATTTATAGCTAGGGTATTCATCATAAGTCAGCTCATTTTTAAAATTTATACAATATAAAGAAAACATATCCAATTATTTGCAACCGTGGCTAGCGGCTCTACCTCTACATTCGTCATGCCATCTATCTTTGCAAAATTTAATAATTTTTCAACACATTTTAAAATTTTAAGTTATTTATTTTATTGTATAAGTTACTTCAAAACATCATTTTTAGATTTCATATCAAATTTCATTTTATGAAGCAAGACTAGCTAGAATTTAACAATCTCCACTTTTTATAAATTGATTGTTTACTGTGTTAGCCAGGATTGGTCTTGTATATTTGCAATTTTGCATTGAGCGTAAAATAGTACATCCCTTAAAACCTACAAATAGTATTGATTTTTACAAACATATATATATATATATATATATATATGTTGAGGGTATTGATTTGAATTTTGATTTCTAAAACATTTACCTAGGTGAGTTTTTTTTTTTTTTTTTTGAGTATAAAACCTTTCAATTTTTTGATTTTTTTTAATGTTTAAAATAATCGGGTCCAACTTTAAACCTGTTTCCGGCTAAGTCATGGTGGAATATGCGGGAATTATCCCTTTTTCCCGTTGACTTTGGTTTTAAGTTTTGAAATTGAAGACAATATATTATAATTAATCTGTAATGTAGTCGTAATTCATAGTGCTTGTCTCTCTGACATATTTCTAAAAAAACAAAAAAACAAATACGAAAGGTTACTGAGGTACTTATAATGATGATGATATATTAATTCATATAATTTCTAACGGTTCTGCCATTTGAAAAAGATATAGACATGTTGGTATTTACTTGGTTAATCTGCTAGTTTCTGTCAATCTTTCCTCTTCTGTGAGGGCCATATCTTTTTAAGGATTTTGGATCATTTCCATTTATAAAATGAATGTAGAGACTACATCTAAAGAAAAATAAGCAAATATCATTCCACACGAGACATATGATATGTTAAGTTTCATGCTGAAGATCACTAGAATTTCTTGGTCACAACAAAGCTGAGGGCTGCTTCCATTAAAACATGGTTTTGGTGGTTTCCAATGTGAAACTGAGCATAAACTTATATTCCCTCTGTTTTAATTTATAAGGCACATTTAGACAAAATTATATATACTAATAAAATTTATTAAATATACTTTATAATATTATTTTTTCAAAACAAAACAAAAATATAAACTTCTAAAAATACCCATCATTTGATGCTTTATTGGTAAAAGAATTTAAAAAAAAAGAATATAATAGAAAGAATAATATTAGAAAAACATCACTAATAAAACTTTGTTTTTGTTAAAATATCTTATATTTTAAGATATCAAATTTCTTTTAAAAATGTCTTATAAATTGAACGGGGAAAGATTTTCATAATCACACAAGTCCAAATGCATCATCTATGTTGATTTGGTGGTAAGCGTAGAGGATCTGAGTGGTATCATTTACAACCTAGTAATATTCCTTTGGACGTTTCCTTAAAAACCCAGGTTTCGTTGGTTTGCACTTGTGAGTTTTGCTTTCTAGAAATTGTTTCACAAGATGACCATACTTGATTCTTCTAGCTTCTGGTTTCTGAAGTTCTTTGGAATCTGGATATTTGGCACTTGATGAATAAATGAGATCTGATTCAAGTCTGAAATTCACTATTGTGCAAGTTTTTGCGTTCTGCAGTATTGCGGTGCATTCAGTATGTTGACGACTAGCGTTGCCCATCACATTTCCCTTTTATAGCACGCTTGTGACTAGTTTAGTATTTCTCTAATTGAGATTTAACTGACAATAGGTCCTCTTTTGTATAGTTCAGTTGAATTTAACTAAATGAAGTTGACATGTAGATCATGGATTATGCTTCTCTTCCACATTTTCGCAGAAAAGTTGGCTTTGGATTGGATAGGCTATTACCTTCAAATAGTAAAAGAGGCGCTGCTCATGGCCAGTTTAATGGAAGGTTCATGGGAAGACGACTCATATTTTATTTTTTTGTGAGCTTAATTTTCTTCAGATTTGCAAGATTGTAAACGGGAGATGATTAAACAGCAGCTGAATATCAGATGTTTTTCCCTGCCCTGTAAAAGCTCGTCTTTTTAAGGTCTATTGGGCCTCAAAAAACAAGGAAGTCTGACAATGAGCATTCATATCTGCACAAGATTTTTTTCTCCGTTTTTCCACGAATCTGATAAAGAGTTCCTGAATATACAAATGATCTTCCTTTTTCAAAGGGGATGTTTCTTGATAATCCCATGTCCACTTTTGTGATTGGTCATCAAGAAGTTCTCTTTTAAGAATCCAAAGATGCTGCTTCGGCCGGCACCTTGTCTTGCTGGCGCAACCTTCTAAGTTCACCTTCAAGTGCCATTTTTGCAGAATCTGCCATCTCTGCATTCTTTAGAGCCATCTCTGTAGCTGCCTTTATTTCCTCAATGGCCTTCAGATTTGCTTCCAACTTCTTGTCTGCTTCATTTTGTCTTGCCTTTATTGCTTCAACCTGAATCATTGCAGCCAGCTCTGCCTTCTCCACAAGATCAGCACATTCCTTCACTTTCCCCGTCACCGACTCAAACTTCTCAACAGATAGTTTGATCTTGCCATGATCTTCTGAGTTTGTCACATCACTGACTTGACTGTTGTTGTTGTTACCTTGCATCTCAGACAAGATCTTCATCTCCTCAAGGGCTCTTTGTTCTGCTGCTTTCACTTCTTCAGCTTCTTTTAGGACAATCTCCAGCTTTGTCTCGAGTTCTTGAGCCAAACCTCGCGCCTTCTCAGCTTCTTGCTTCAGCTCATGTGTTCTCTGGTTCATCTCTTCTGTTTCCCTTTTTGCAGCTTCTGTTTCTTCTGTTAGCTTCTTTATTTTCATGCTTTGTTCATTGAATAATTCAGCAGCTTTTTCCAACTCCTCAATGTTTGTTTCCCCCTTGCTCTTCTGGAGTTCATCTTTAACGTAAGCAGCAAGAGCTTCTGATTTTTGTTCCTTGTCTTTCAAGATTCTTTGCTCAGTTTTCACATTATCTAATTCATCCCTCAACAAAGCCACTAGGTGCTTAAGAGAGCTTTCTTCTTCAGCTACTTCTCCAAGAGTCTCTGTGGCTTCCTTGAGCTCTATAGTTATAGCTCTAGCAGCATCCATGTCAGAAGCATGTGCCTTCTTCATCTGTTCCTGCAAAACTTCAATCTCTGCACTTGTTTCAGCAAGTTTAGCCTCAAGATCTTCGGTATTCAACCCGGGGTCGTATTCTTTCATCAAAGATTCCATCTTTGTCTCTGCTTCTTCCTTGCCATTTTTGTAAGAATCATATTGAGCTTCCCTCTCTACCATGGCCTTTGCTTGCTCCTCTTGAGCCTGCAAAGATTCAAGCTTTAACTCCTCAACAGATGTTTTCATGGCTGCAATCTCCTTGGAGAGCTCACTGATCCTTTCTGAGTTCAACTTGGCTGAGCGTTGAGCTTCTCCGGCTGTTTGAAACGCAGCAAGCTTGGCCTCCAAAGCTGCATCAAAATCTTGCCTGATCTTGGTGAGTTCTTGCTTGGCAGCATCAAGTTCTTTCACTGTGGTCGTGTATTCCTTTCTTGCATGCTCAAGTTCTAGCTTCCAAGCTTCAAAGCCCACAGCTTTCTGGGATTTTGCCCTTTCAAGTTGCTTGGCTTGGTTCTTCACAGCTTCTGCAGCTTCCATGGCGGCTTCCTTGGATTCTCTGACATTTGTCAGCTTCATTGTGAGATCTTGAAGTGTCACTTTTGCCTTCTCAAGCTCAGCCAGCGCTTTAGATTTTGTGGTCTCAGCACTCTCCAGTTGCTTCTTTATCTTGTTCAGTTCTCTCTGTGCCAACAAAAGCTGTGTCTCCTTTTCTAATACATTCTGCAAATCATACCAAAGATGCTTTCAACAACGTTATTAATTTTCCATGTGTGTGCTTTAATGGAGAAGACATCCTCGTATTGACTTGAAATAACAAATAAGATGACAAAAGCTCCTGCCATGAGAAGAGGGTTAATGCACATCATGGTATTACAACCCAACTCAGAATTGGCTGGTCAGACCAGTGAACCATAAACCAGTAATCTGATCAGCCTAGTTAAGAGTTTTGTGCCAGTTAGATTATATATATATATATTTTCACTTTGCTCAGCCTACAATGACAATGTCTTGAGTTAAAAAGATAATCTTGATGACCTCGATTCGATCATGGTTTGGATCAATGACCTTTAAACTGACCCGTCTAGATTTAAGTATCTTGATCAGAAAAATTGAAATATGACACGATGTCTCTGAGAGAGAGAGAGAGAGAGAGAGAGAGAGTTTTAACATGTGTGGTTTACGAATATGATTGTGTTTCATAGGTTTTTTTGGTTACCTCGGATGATTTTCTCCTGACAGCACGTTTTTCCTTGGAGACAGCAACTTCACCGAATAAACTCACAGCAGCTTTCACAGATTGAAATGGCGCTCTTGTGTCGATCTCGCCAACCTCCCCCCTGGGAGAACTCATATCCTTCTGTGAATCCATTTTTCTGAAATTCACCATTTTCTCTGCTTCTCCTCCTCCTCCTGAGCACGATGATCTCTGCATTACCCCACCCAAAAAAAAAAAAAAGGCATAAAACTGATGCAATGAGGCGTGAAACACAATACTATGAATAAATGACACGTCAAAATGATGAATATTACCTTGAAGGTTGATGTTTCTGGAGAAAATGATGGTGTTGATTGAAGTGCAAGAACGCAGATGATGAATTTGTGAAGGGAATTAGAGGATGGTTGTTGGACCTTGAAAGAAACCCAGACAGAAAACACACAGGTTTCTTTTATGTCCAACGTTGTGGAATTGAGTATCACAGGTCTTAGGCCTTTGAAAAAAAAAAAAAGTCTCCAAAATATGACTGGTTTGTGAATTGGATTTGCTATTTTAGCTTCCAAGACGCAGGTTTGTGGCGTGATTAAAACAGTAAATGCTAACCATACAGGGCAGCAACAATGTAGAAGATAAGAATAAAATACATTATTTTCTCTCTCTGTATTTGAGAAATTAATGGAGCTATTTGTGGAGATGAAGGCTGATCTTAAACATGCCACGCTGGATATTTCACAGTGAATATGGTTCAATTCAATTGTTTACAGGCATGCTTGGTCCATAAAAGGAAAATATTTAATGTACTCTCCTAGTAGTATTATTATTGGATTAATAATAATGTACTGATATTGATATTCTTATTTTGAGTCATATTTGTTTAAATATTTAGACTATAATCATGAATTTTTCCAAAATTAAACCAAATAATATGATTATATGCAAACGATAATGCTAAAGAATATTTAGTAAAAAATTTATATTTACAGTTGTTTTTAATTTGATAGAGTATAATATAGCAGAATAAAATATTCTATATATTTATATTTTTTATAAAATTCATATCCAATTAACTTAAACACATAAATCATAATGCCCCCTCCAAAAAATAACAAATTGTATTAATTAGATATTCTGGTATGTATAAACATATAGCTGTAATTTACTAGTCTAGATTTTTTGGTAAAAAAAAAAATCTAACATTCTATGAATAATGAGATACTAAATTATCATTTCATAAAACAAATATAACTACATAATTTTCAATGGAACTTTTCAATTTTATTATAATCCTTTGTTTCCATTTCATTTGTCTATGTTTGATTTTTATTATTCGAACTTGCACAATTCACAGATGAATGTTTTTTTCATAAAAGAAGTCTCATTCTCATTCAGTCAAATTAACTAACCTACCAATATCCTACATTCATAAGAGATAAACAAATACAATACAATATGACTTTTCAATTATTTACCAACTCAAGTTGATGTAAATTATAGACACTCTTATACTTAAACAAGTAACTAGAGATTTGAATTTCAGCTCTCATGTACATGTCAACTTGATTAGAAGGAATCTATCATTTACCCTCAGTATTCTATAGAATATGCTATCAGTGAAGCCCACTTTTTGTGTTTCACGAAGATGTAAAGTAGAAAGACATTTCTTTCTTTAGCAGAATCACTACACTTTTTTTTTTTTTTTGGGTTACAGTGAGAATCACTACACATCTTGCTCTCCAGCCATCCTCATAATGAAGAAAGTCCAACCCTGGAAACTGGCCTGCAAAATGCAAAAATCTCCGCAGTCTTTTCACTTGTGTTTACAAAAGGAAAGAGCATTAACATTTATTTGTTCCAAATTGCTAATAATCATTTTTACAGAATATCTAAACTAAAAAGAAATGCACCTCATCTTTCCTTTCATTAAAAAGACTCAAATCTTTTCCCTCATTCGAGTTCAATGTGAGGTGTTTCATTGACAGTTTTGCATACAAGTCGAAACCCACTTTAACTGCAAATCTTTGCTGTTAAGCCAATATTCATAAATAATATAATTATAATATTTAACATAATAACTACTCCTAAAGAATTAAAAGAATTTCCCAGACCTTATCTTAATATTTCTAATATCAACTTTGGAATTGAGTTTAGCCTTGCCAGATTAGGGAAAAAACATATTACATGAGCTCAAAGACAAGAGCAGACGCCCCTCCTCCTCCATTGCAGATAGCTGCAACCCCATACTTCCCCTTCTTTTGTCTCAAGACCTGTGTCACAAAACTCGGATAACATATCCTCAAATTTGGAAAATAATAATAATAACACTTTCCAAAGATAAGAGCTTTATTTCTAAATGCCATTTATGCAGCAGTCAAGACCCAAAATTAGAGATTTCATAGTAGCTAAAAGTTAGCAATTGTGAAAATGAGAGTTATAGACAACATAATTTGTATATCTTAATGACAACCATGAGACTTCATAGTAGCTAAAAGTTAGCAATTGTGAAAATGAGAGTTATAGACCGATAATTTATACATCTTAATGACAACCATGAACCCTAAACTTCTCATTAAGGACCATAGAAGTACATAACTTTAGGTGCTTCCCAACCGCTTGCACATCTTAGATGCCATGAGACCCATTGTTCATTAGCATCACTTATGACTCCTTCACCAGTAATTTTAAGAAGCGCCAACAGTATCTTATTTCTATATGGTCTTCTTAGAGGAATTTTGATTTTCTTAAGGTCTTTAACTATCATTAATATAAGCTATGGTTCTCAACAGTTATTTTTTCCTCACTAATTGGTGAAGTATAGAACATGAGCAAATCAAGATTAAGAATTACCCCTAACAATGTTACTAAGATACGAGCTCCACTGCAACCCAATGGGTGTCCCAATGATACAGCTCCACCGTGCACATTAACTTTATCCTTGGATCCAAAAAACATAATCATCTGTTAGGTTTAAGTCATTACCATTTACCATATGAGGACAAGATCGAGAAATTGAAGGAAGAAGCATCGTATCAGCCAAAAAAAGATTTCATCAACCAAAAGAGCAGCGTCATCAACACTCACAGGATTAAGACCGAGAAGCTTTTGATTTGCAAGAACTACAACCTGCATTGAAGAAATGATGCAGGATGATATAATACAATTTTTATTCATTCCATTATGTAACAATATGATTATTATATGAGGATTAGGGTTATATTTTGGGGAACTGAGGTAACCTATGACTTACAACCAAATGCTTTCAGGCATAGGCTTTCATATCTAGTATCCTTGTAGGATTAGGATGCCTATTCTTCTTAAGATTTTTATTTGGGCCGCTTATGAATAGGCATCTCTAATAAATTATTACCGCCAACTGTTTATTATAAATATATTGAATTGATCTTTGAATTTTGAGAATTTTGTTCCTCGTCTTTCATTCCCTTCCATGTTCCTAAAATATGAGCAGAATATATTCTTACAGAGAAGGCTTCATTTATTTCATAAAAATCAATTTGAGAAGCCTCCAAACCAGCATTTGATATAGCTTTTGGTATTGCAAGAGCTGGAGCAGTTGTGAATAACTCAGGTGCCTGCCAGGAGAACCTCGCTTAAGCTTTGAGTTGTTCATATCAATCAAGACTAAGACAAGTTCCAATAACCAGTCATAGCACCTGAGCTGCATCTGCATATCCCTTTATCTTAGCTATTACTTGCAATCCAAGCTGAAGCACCTTCTCTCCACTCACTAGCACTAATGCAGCAGCTCCGTCGCTGGTCAAGTCAATACACAAATTATCAATTAAAGAGCATACAGTTAAGAACCTTTATGATTTCAACTTCTCCATATTACAGCACCTTGTACAATCAGTATGACGCAGTGAGTTGTCCCCACAAAATTAACATGGGGCATCAATAGAAATATGCATTGGAGTCAACCCCCAAACGTACCCAGCACAATCTAGTGGTTTAGATACCAATTTGACAAAGACATGGGCATATGGTAATAATCAAGTATTGAGTTTTAGTCTATTACACTGGAGGCAGATCCAGGCCATGCCACATGACAATGGACCAGAATTAAGATGGACTCGGGCTTGAGTTTCTAGGCATAAGTCTAGCTAGCCCAGCCCAACCAATTAGCGGGTCTATTGCACATACACCAACTATGCAGAGAGACACATCATAAGGGAAGAGAAAGAGAGGACCTTATGCTAGAAGCATTGCCAGCAGTTACAGAACCCCCGTCCTCCTTGAAGCTTGGCCTAAGCTTCCTTAACTTTGCAGCATCAAACTAGAAACATTCGGACAGATTATGCAAGATATCAAGCAAAAAGCATAAATTCCTACCATATTCCAATGTGAAAGAAAGTCACAAGGACCATAAATTCCTACCATATTCCAATGTGAAAGAAAGTCACAAGGACCATGGTTCAAATGAATTCCAAATAAGGATTCCCCTAAAGGCTCCTACAGTTGAGTTCAGAAGCATGGATTTTGGCACAGAGACAAGACATGACATTGACAGAGACACAATGGCATAACAAAATTTGACGTCTTATATATAATTTGAAGTATCACATCATGTCTAATACGAGTCTTAGACAAATGCCAGATATAGTGCAGCCCTTTTTGAAGTTTCCATGCTTCATTCTGAATTAATCTAATTAGCAGAAGCATATTACCAATTTAACATTAATAATATTCTATTTAACCATGCTTACCAAAAAAATTATTCTATTTAACTATACTATTATTAATTATTAAATATTAATAATTAATTCAGTTTGTTTCTCTTAAACATGGAAGTCACAAAGGGCATATATGCACACTTGGAAGTTGGAATGATCAAAACAAACATATTAACATGAGATAAAGCTTCTTGCATAATTAGTTTCTGCCATGTGCAAGTAAAATTGTTTACGACTTTGAGTAAGGAAATGTTCGATACTAATGCAATAGAGCCTAGCTACAGCATAAGCTCTTAATTCTAAGTTAGTGATTCTGGTTAGAAGTTAGTACATTAGAAGATAGTAAACTAAGAAATATAGAAGATAATGAGTATAACAATGTGAACCCAAAATCCACCATTATATATGCACCATAATCATAATCAGTGTGGTTCACCTTAGGCTTTAGAAAATACACAGGGAAACATGTTCAATTAGTTCCAAAAAATTGTACCTCCTATCTATTTACCTTTTCCAAACATTCATCTTTATCAACAAGGGTGGATGACTTCCCTCTTCCAATAGAAACTTCAACCTGCAGGTGCAGATAGCACAAAAGAAAACTACCTCAAAATCATCGCATATTCTCAAGCATGTAACATGAGTAGGAATTTGAAAATCAAACCGGAACTATCTCCCACGTAAAATGACCAGAATTTTGAGCAGAAATTCCTCTCTTATAGCTTTCTATAGCATAAGAATCCTGAAAAAACAACAACGTGGTAGAATGAAATAGAAATACAGATCTTAGATTGCAAGAAGACAAAAAGATGTGAAAACAGGAAGGACTAATGACATGTGGAAGGGTGGTAAAACCAAAACTTCAAAATATATCAACGTATCAATATTGTTCTACAAATTTTACGTCTAAATAACAAAAGGACAACAACTGGCGACACCAAGCAACTAAAGGACTAATGACATGTGAAATGGTGGTGAAACCAAAACTTCAAAATATATCAACATATCAATATTGTTCTACAAAATTTTACATCTAAATAACAAAAGGACAACAACCAGCGACACCAAGCAACTACATAAGTCAATTAAATGATCTAGTGAAAATAATTAATAAAATCAATTAAATGAAGAGGAGAGAATGAAATACACCACAAAATTTTAACATACAGTTGACTGACGAGCAATACCTGCTCCTCTCTTGCTATGTCATGAAGATCAGCACATAGCTCAGCACAAACACCCATGCCAAAGTCATTATAAACATCCCAAAGGCCATCCTTAATCATACCATCAACGATAGTATCATGTCCCAACCTAGATTCCTTCCTGTTTTAGAATACATACAAAAAAATGTTGATGCATATCATCTTCGCTCACAAAAAAAAAAAAAAAAAATTGAGGTGAAAGTTTATGAAAGTCAGACTTCAACAAATACTTTAAAATTACTGGTTTCACGGGGGTGCACCTATATAGAAGATTATTAGTATCCAAACATGCAAATAATATCAAAAATTTCTGATGTGGGGTTCACGTCTCATACTTGCTATCAGATCCTAATATACACTTCCGTGACCTAGATCTCCAAATTAACTTCTTGAAATACAACCAGTAGTTAATTACCAAAGTAGCAAAATAAACATCAACCCGGTAATGAGTTCCTCCTGTTATCCTCAATACATTCCTTCAGCTTTCTAAAGCGTGAACTTTTTCCCAAAAAGAGCAGATGTATTATAGTATCGGTGATTTAAGAAAGAAAAGGAAAACCTTGCTTCTGCTATATACTTGGGTGCATTAGACATGCTTTCCATGCCACCAACCACAACAATATCATGAATACCCGATTGTATTGTCAGTGCTGCCAGCATATTAGCTGCAACGAAAACGATGAGCTGAAGCATGACTTCACCACTCATTCACAAAAATTAAATTTAAATATTTTTGAAGCGAGACAATATCTCTTAATAGATAAAACAAAGCCTACCTTTTATCCCTGCTGAACAAACTTTGTTAATAGTAGTGCAGATTACAGAGGTAGGTATGCCCGCACCTAACGCAGCCTGCCTGGCAGGAGCTTGCCCTAAATTTGCAGCTAGAACATTCCCAAAGAACACCTCTTGCACAAGTGATGGATCAATGTTTGCTCTCTTGAGAGCAGCTGCAGTTTTAAGCATGGACACTAACATGAACACATTAACCCACCAACTTCAAAATACCGACAGCATCATCTTGTACTTTAAAATACAGCATAGATATTATACATGTAAAGCACAAAACATTAGGAAGAGCTTTTATTCTTTCCTGAAGACATGGAGTTTCTAGTTCCTAAGTTTACTTCTATTTAGGCTGCTTTCTTTTATGGTGTTAAATGTGTCCTAGTCATGTCGGATCTATGTCCAACAAATCTCCAAGTCGAAAGAATAATCCCCCGCCTAATTATGATACATTTGCACACGTACTGAACACACGTGTCGCCTGCATGTTGTGGTAGTTTATGATGATCAACGCGTCAAGCACAACTTCATAGCACAAAATATATTGGGAAAAACATATTTTACTGTTAACATTTACTGAATTATACTCTTTACCTCAATGATGATGATGTATTAAAAACAGAGTAAAGTGCAATAGTTTTACACTTAATGGCAATAGAACCAAGCTCCGTCGCTGAAAGAGATGACAGGGTGCCTAGGAAAGCACCCATTGGCGTCCGCGCAACACCAACAACACAAACATCTGTAATTAGATACATCCAGAAGACCCGAGCTTAGCAGTGACATAATAATCAACTCAGGAAAAACCATACAGATGAATTTGTTGTTTTTCTCATAAGCTACGCAATAGCTAACTACTTTTTAGGGGAATATATTAGCAGGTTAATGAACTACCCCAAAAAAGAAAAAAACAGAACTTATAATACGAAATTACTTATGAATTTATGTGACGATATAATATAGATAAATGATGATTCTATCAAATTAAACCAAACCTCGTGGCTTTATAGAATCGGGACCTGGAGACATTGAATCGTCGGAAAAGACCTTCAGAACAGAAAGAAAAAAGCTTTGGACAACAAAAGCAGCAATGAATGATCATGTAGTAAGAAAAGTGAGTAAAGACAAGGCCGGCAAAAATCAAGTACGTGATAGAAGAAGACAGGGGTCATCGTATTCAGCATTTTCTTTTTTTAATAAAACCCTGTCATGCCTCGCCTCACTTGCCCTCCCACTAAGCCTCAGGTGGTATTATTTCGAGATATGTATTGTTTATCAATTTAATACGTCAGCTAATCTGGTTAATAATCTAAATTAGGACAAATATAATAAAATTTTACAAACACAGAGAATCAAAGGAAAAAAATATAGGAGAAATTACTGAGAAGGACCAAGAGGTAAATTTATTTGGGGAAAAAGTCCTAGATCTTTCAAGTGAATTAAGATAATTCACTTCAAAAACCTTAGTCCCTTTTCTCAAATTTCTCTGTCTCATGATATTTCTCACCAATTTTTCCCAAAAAGTATGCCACCATTGGTTAGCCAGGACACAGTGGTGGTTTGCGCCGCTCCATCAACACATTGCAATTGAAGTGTGAACAAACCAACGTATCATTTGCCTAGTTTATATACATACATACATATAAAAAAGTTAAAGCGAGCAAGATTTCAAAAACTGACATGTTTTTGAATCCAAAAAATCCTCATAAAATTACAGATCATCTATTAATAAAATTCTCACTCATATCAAGTGCAAAATCTCATTTTATCACCTTAGGAGTTATAAACAAAATTTTAATATTTGTTGGCATAACATTTGCCTAATTGTCTTAACACAAACAAATAGGATTAGCGCGATATTGTCCGACCCCCAAAAAAAAAAAACAATAACTGAGTAGGATACTTGTTTTTCCTTTAAAAAAGTTACAAGTGATACTCGCCTCAAGAAACCCAGATTTAAAAAAAAAAAAAAAAAAAACTCTACAAATTACATTCGCAGTGCTCAGGTTTACAAAATTCTACAGAGGATCGTTTCTAAGATCATGTGTTCAAAAAGTCCCTGCTAAAAACCTTCCAGAGGCAGTCATAAAACACGCCTAAATGTGAGATTGATGCGAGTAGCTTCTGCTTTTGCTCGTTTAGGCACAGAATGAATCCAATCCCTTTGTGTATAACCTCTCATCACCAGCAGTGATCCATGCTTGAGTGTAAATGAATGTTGATCACCATGATTGTTCTTTAATCGCTTCTTCACGGGTTCATCACTTCCATCTACACATCCAAACCAATATATTATTATTGTTATTATTTTCGGAACAATTCTAGCTTTTCTGTTACACGCACAATGCACTTCATAACCCAGATATACAAAACGCAGAATCTGATAAAGGAACCTTTCAACACAGAAACACAAAACTGGACATTAATGGTCTGTTTGGTTCTGTTAGGTTCATGCAACGTGGTTTGAAAATCTCAAGCTCAACACTGACTTGTTTTAATTCAAGTGATAATTTATAATATTAAAATAAATAAATCATATACTATTATGAATTAAAAACATAGTAAATAAACAATTAAGTTCGAAAATTTATTTAAAAAATTCTGAACAGACGATGGAACAAGTATCTTGGGTTTTTTTTTTTTTTTATAAACAGGAGAAAAAAACACTGTTTCATAACAGGATCAAGCAAGCCTTAGATCATCCTAATCATTCAGAAGCCAGATATAGAAAAGCACAAAATCAATGAGAAACTGGAACTGCAATCCTAAATTTAAATTCAGCCGACTAACATATATACCTCTGGATCTTTTACTTGGTTTCTTCTTCAAAATGAACTCGCGTTCACATCCAAAAGACACTGAAGCAATTTCAGGGGTTGGACCATACAGCTTCTCATCATCCGCATGCCAACCAACATAGTCATTACCACCTTTATACCTATTTATGAGTAAGCTATTAAAACGACTCCCGGGAAGAGCTTTATGGACCTTCAGAAATAAGGAAGGTATTAACTCATTAAGTGCTGTTAATGAAGGCTGCCAAATTTATCAAAACATTAACAGTACTGTGAACAAAAACATTTTTATGAGTCATACTGCACCCAAGATATCTTTCAGTGGCGGATAATCATCCCAAGGATAAGCATGTGGTTGATCCACTGTAAGTCAATTCCGTCAATCCTGGAGTTGCAACGTAACATGTGTCTCTAGGCTGCAGCAAATTAAACAACAAACAACAACAACAACAACAACAACAAGCCTTTATCCCACTAGGTGGGGTCGGCTACATGGATTGCAAGACGCCATTGTGCTCTATCATTTATTAAGCTTTTAGAATATTATTAATTAAGAGATCACGTTCAACAACTTCCAAGAGTGTTCTCTTAGGCCTTCCTCTACCTCTCTTAATCGGACTCAAAGTTATATGTTCCACTCTTCTCACTGGTGCCTCCCTTGGTCTTCTTTGTACATGCCCAAACCATCTCAACCGATTTTCTACCATTTTTTCCTCAATAGGTGCCACCCTCACTTTTTCACGTATGTGCTCATTTCGAATTTTATCTTTACGTGTATGTCCGCACATCCATCGTAACATTCTCATCTCTGCTACTCCAACTTTATGCTCTTGCTGTCCCGTTAGAGCCCAGCATTCACTACTATATAACATTGCCGGTCTGATAGCAGTACGATAAAACTTTCCTTTAAGTTTATTAGGCACCTTACGGTCACAAATAACTCCTTTAGCTTTTCTCCAATTAAACCACCCAGCTTGAATTCTATGTGAAATATCTCCACTGATTTCGCCATCATTTTGAATAATGGCTCCCAAATATCTAAACTTTTCCACTTGAGGTATAATTTGATCTCCCAATTTCACTTCCAAATTATTTTCGAATAGTCCTTTACCAAATTTACAATATAAATATTCCGTCTTACTTCTACTCAGACGAAAACCTTTCGACTCCAATGTCCTCCTCCATAACTCAAGTTTGCAATTAACCTCTTCTCTTGTCTCTGCTATAAGAACTATATCATCCGCGAAGAGCATACATTTCGGGATTTCCTCTTGAATATGTTCCGTCAAAACATTTAAAATCAAGTTGAACAAATAAGGACTCAGAGATGATCCCTGATGTAGTCCAATCTTTATAGGAAAATCCTTTGTTTGACCACTAGGCGTTCTTATACTAGTTTTTACCCCCTCATACATATCTTGTATGGCTTTAATATAAGCAATCCGTACTCCCTTTTTTTCCAACGCTTTCCAAAGCACTTCTCTTGGTATACGGTCATAAGCTTTTTCCAAATCAATAAAAACCATGTGTAGATCTTTATCTTTACAACGATACTTTTCCATTAATCCCCTTAGTAGATAAATCGCCTCTGTAGTTGATCTACCTGGCATAAAACCAAATTGATTCTCAGAAATACTTGTCTCCAATCTCAACCTGTGCTCAATTACTTTCTCCCACAATTTCATTGTGTGGCTCATGAGTTTAATCCCTCTATAGTTAGTACAATTCTGAATATCTCCTTTATTTTTATAAATAGGAATTAATGTACTTCTCCTCCACTCATCAGGCATTTTCTTGGACCGTAAAATCACATTAAATAACTTAGTTAACCATCTCACCCCTTCTTCACCTAAACATTTCCACGCTTCGATAGATATACAATCAGGTCCGTTAGCTCTACCATTTGCCATTTTCTTAAGAGCTTCCTTTACCTCCTTATCACGTATTATTCGATAGAATGACAAATTTTGTTCTCCTTCACCAGTTACTAAATCCTCCAAGTTACTAGATGAATCCTCTCCATCATTGAAAAGTTTAGAAAAATAAGTCTCCCATCTATTTTTAATTTCATCATCTGTAACTAAAATTCTTCCCTCTTCATCCTTAATACACCTTACCTGTTCTAGATCTCTTGATTTTCTTTCCCTACTCTTGGCAATCTTATAAATATTTTGCTCTCCTTCCTTCGTCTCAAGGTTCTTATAAAATTCTTCAAAAGCTTTGGAACGAGCTTCACCCACAGCTCTCTTAGTTTCCTTCTTAGCCATACGGTACCTCTTCCAATTTTCTTCATTGTTACACAAATGTATGGCTTTAAAACAGTTCTTCTTATACTTGATTTTGTCCTGTACACTATTATTCCACCACCAAGACTCCTTATCTCTCGGACCAGAACCTTTCGATTCTCCCAAAACTACTTTTGCAACCTCCCGTATCTTTTTAGCCATATCCTCCCATATGATGTTAGCACTTCCCTGAGAATCCCAAATTCCTTTATCCAAAAGATTTCGCTTGAAAATATCTTGCTTCTCACCTTTTAATTGCCACCACCTAATCTTTGGTGTTACTACTTGTCGACGTTTTTGGATTTTACTCATAATACACACATCAAGGACTAGGACCCTATGTTGTGTCGTTACAGCATCTCCAGGGATCACCTTACAATTTTTACAAAGTTTTCTATCTGTGTTCCTAACCAAAAGAAAATCAATCTGCGACCTTGAGGCTCCACTTTTGTAAGTGATGAGATGCTCATCTCTCTTCTTGAAACAAGTGTTGGCAATCTTAAAATCATACGCCAATGAGAAATCAAGAAGAGTTTGCCCTTCATTGTTTTGCTCTCCAAAACCAAAACCACCATGCACCCTCGCATACTGACCAGCTTCCCTCCCGACATGCCCATTAAAGTCTCCTCCAATAAAAATCTTTTCACTCTGTGGTATGTGTCGAATCAACCCCTCCAGATCCTCCCAAAATAATTCCTTAAGACTGGCTTCTGTCCCGACTTGCGGCGCATAAGCGCTAACAATATTAACAGTCTCACGTCCAATTATCATTTTTAAAGAAATAATTCTGTCTCCAATTCTGCTAACTTCTACAACGTTCTTCTTCCACTCATTATCTATAATGATGCCTACTCCATTGCGTGCACTTACTTTTCCTGTATACCAAAGTTTGAAACCTTGAATATCCTTAGCTCCTTCTCCACGCCATTTTGTTTCTTGCAAGCAAAGGATATTGATTTTCCTTTGAATCATAACCCCTACAACCTCTACAGATTTACAATTTAATGTCCCAACATTCCAAGTACCAAATCTAATTTTGCTCTTATGGACTAACTTCTTTAGCCGCGTGCGTCCAGAATGACGCGGTAGCCCTTGCTTATTTAACACTACATCCGGGCGCCGATGCAGCGGCTCTAACTCACTTATCACTGTACTCGAGCCATGCAGCGCGTTACTTACGGGCAACGACCTAGCATTAACATTATAACGTCTATTGTCCATGTTCATGATAGATTCAACAAATTTTTACATTGGCTGTTGATGGCCTAACACAACCCTCCTCCTTTACCCGGGCTTGGGACCGGCTATAAACATAGGCGAAGTTAAACAACATGAAAAAAAACACGAAGTTCCCAAGGTTAGCCAGATGCATGAAGAACAACTGTTTAAGGAGGCTACGGTTGTTGCATACTATATTATTAAAAGAAATGAATTTTACTACGAAAATAACAGCTTTCTCAGACCTTTGTGTGAGGACCTATAGGATCAGTAACTACCCACGAGTGGAAAACCCAAAAGTGTGCTCATATAAATGGCCATGATACCAATTATATTCCTTCTTGCTTGAATAAACAGAACCATTGAGTAAACAGAAACGAATCATAAAACTGAGTAGGCAGAATTCAGCAAAAGATTCAATTTTGCTCGACAAAATTTTAATGAAAATGATCAATTTTGTTCTTTTGACATAAGCTCTGTATCATGCAGCGTCGTAGCAAAGACAATAGCTTATTGTCGGACGCTGACAACTACAAAGTACAAAGTGACGCAAAAAGTTTCATAAAAGTTCCCATTCCAACCAAAATACCTTTTTTAACAACTCAATATCAATGTATTTGATTTCATGTTAAAAATTATGTCTTTTCTTAACCCATGACTCTAGCCACATCAATTAAACAACTGCGAACTGGCAGCAGGTGCAATCTTCCATAAAATCAATTAGACTGGAAGTTTCTTTATCAGAGGTGAGATAATCAAACAATAGAAACGCAGTACCGTGGAAGAGGTGATTCGTTCAAAAAATACATGAAGATTTGAAATAGAGATAAATGACCGAATCAAGGAGAGAAACTAAAATTGGACTAACTAACTTGTCTTCTGGGTCAGAATCCCTAATCCCTAACTTCTATAAAGATGCATCGTAGCCGTAGGGAAAGGAAAAAGAGAGACCTGAACGCAAGATTTTCCAAAGACGTGAATGGTTGGTCTGTTCCATGGGATATGCTTATCGAGGTAATCGAACCAGTTCCATGACTGATCCAAGGGTATGAACCTCCGGACGTATATGACTTCGCTTGCGTTTCCAAGATCGATAATTTGCTTCTTCAAAGTGTCATAAGCATTATCGTTATCGGTAGGTGTAGACACCGCCTTCAGCTTCAATAGACTCATCGGAGGTCACGCCGGCAACCGCATCTATTTTCGCGCCAGCCCTGCAAGTACGTACAATACAAATATGGAGATCGGGGGAGAATGACGTTCGGAGGGGAACAATTATTTCAAATTGAGCCTCAAAGTCCCCAAGGAATTTTGCAAATTGGACCTTTAATTTTTTAATTTTGATGTAATAAGTTTATAATTTATTTTTAAAATTTTAACATAATTAAAAAATAAATAAATATATTTTATTTATTAAAATTTAAAATATAATTTATAAATTTATCATAACATTGCAAAATTAAAAATAAAACTTATAAATTTTTAAAATTTAACATTTTAAAACTTAATTTAAATTAATTTATTCTATTAAAATTTCTATATCATTCTTCTTATAGATTGACTTTAGGTCAAAGGAATTACTCTTTCAGTTTCTTCATTTGTTTTTGTTGGGAGATGATACAATTTTCATTTTATTTATCTATTTATTTATTCATTCATATTTTTAATAATATTTATTATTTTTTAAAAAATAAGCAGTTGATAAACTTATTCAAAGTTTACCTCGATTTAAATGTAAAATTTTGATATCATTTTGTTATTTATGTTTTTGAAAAAGAAATTACACAATATTATATGTATTTACATTTTTCATAACAAAGATAAAAAGATTCATTGCACTAATATATATTGGATATATAATTAGATAAATTAGACTTGACTATTGAACTTTTTAAAATTAATAGCTTCTAGAGGTGTTCATAGAATAAGACGGGATCAAAAGAACCCTATCCTATGTCTTGTTCTAAAAAATGAATTGGGTTTAATTTTTATCTTATCCTATTTTGAAAGTTGCATCGTCTCGAGACGTCTTGATAAAACAAATAAAACACGAAAGAGAACTTGAATAATAACATTTATTAAATTACATAACTTACTGGTTTCAAAATTAAAGGAAAATGAGTATATAAATTCAATCATTAAATTATTGTGTAAAGGGCGTCCTAAATTAGGATTTAATCATCATACTAACCATGGTTAATCAAGGACTAACCCAAATGGATTATCCAATATGAGATTAACCCAAATGAATTCTTAATATGTATTTTTTTAAAACTATTTAATATAAAGGGATCCTAAGTCTTTAAAATATTTTAAGAACTCATATCATTCAATTAAACCTATACGGAAGCATGATAATAACTATTTTTACTTGTACAAATATTTTGGCCCGTAATTATAGCACAAGTATCAAACCACATTCCCTAGGGTCCAAAATATATTTCTCCCAACACAAAACCCATAATGCAAGTGGATCAAGAATATATTATCCTAATTGGCAATATCATAAACTAAATACACATATCAAATAAAAGGAGAGAGGCCCACAGAAGTGATTATTATCACTTGGCCTAATGCTCCTTTTCTCTGTTCTTCTGAGATGAGTTAGCTCCTGTAATATGTTAAAAGAGAGGGGTGAGTACAACCACTCAGTAACCAAGGTATATCTAAGTTATACAAATGCATGATAATTAATCATGAATGCAAGTGGCCAGTAAATTTATCAAGGTGACCATTCAAACAATCACATTAATAACATGTTAATCACATTAGCATTTAACTCATGTGAATAATTTCAAGAATAAAGTCAAGTATAAAATTTGCACAAATAACCACATATACATTATTCACATAATTACTGCATGTTCTCATTTTTACAATTATAATCATATTCTCAACATAGCCATTAATCACTCAAATGGCATGATAGTAATAATATGCATGATCAATCTCTTCCTTATATCCCCCCTTATTTCCTCTGACATGAAATCCGTGGGCCAACAACCAGAAGGGATCGTCCATATGGTGAGACTACCCAAAGCCTTAATCATATCATGAGAGGCTACCGGGCCAGGGTTACCTTACTCACTTATGAACACGTTTTCTCCCAAATCACACACTATGAGGTGTCATACCCAAAATTAGCTCTACCCAAAACTCCAGGTAGGTCAGTAGGGTCAAGTCCCTTAATAGGAATAATGCTACAGTACCTTACAAGGTAAGTAGCGGCTATAAACCCTAGAATTATTGGTTAATAGCCAAGTACCATATGGATTTTGCATAACCGCTAACTCCTTCACTAAGGCGAACTCCCGCCATATGATTATGCTCATGAGAAAATGCATTTCAAAAACTCAAATATATAATACACAATTATCCCACATGCTCATCAATTTTCTTACTCAACGAATATCAAAAATCATCATATTTCAATTATGTCTCTTGCATTAATTTTTATATTATCACATAAAGCCACATTAGCATCATATAAAACTCAACATGCTCATACAATTCATCACTGTGCATAATCCACAACTTATAATCAAGAGTGTACATATAATCATCAACCATCAATCTTATTACTCACACCAAGTCATAATTAACTTGGTCACAAGTCATAGAGTCTCAACAAAGTCACATGCATTACAAACAACTATTTTAAATTTATATATATATATATATATATATTCTTTTGTTTCACTAACATAATTAATTAATTAACATATAAATGCATAAATAGATTTCCCCCCGGTTACCTCAACCTTTGAGAGGTCAAAGGTTACCCCTCAAGTTATAACACTTCCAAAACTTTTCAAAGTTTGAATGGTGTTAAAAAAAAATTAATCTACAATTGATCAAATCTCAATGTGTCAATAATATTATTAACACAATTTTCACTCATACTTTAATATTTAAGTATTTATTTTATTTTATTTTATTTTTTTAAGACCTTAGTCTTAGCCTCTTAAGTTCTAAAATTTAATTTCATGTATTTGAACCTATCTACTTAGTTCAATAGTCTCCTTCACAATAATTTAATTCAAATAATTATCTAATATCAAAATTTCCCTTTTTATTCCAAAAATTCGCACATAAAAATACCCAAAAATTGTAAACTTGATTTCAAGCCTAGAATCATTATTCTATAGCCATAATAATTTATTTCTCATCTCAAATAATCATCTAAATATCAACAAATCAATTTATATTTTTGAATTTAACCAAAAATCTACCCATAGGGATCTATGGATAAACTCAAATGCCTTAAATTTCAATTCTATCAACAAAATAATAATCTAAAATATTTATTACACTACCAGCAACCTCAACAATCAGATTTTCTCACCAAAAATTCATCCCTCTTTCAAACCCTAGATTTTTTAAAATCTCAAAATCTGCAGTTTCAAAAAAAATGACTAAAAAAATATTTAGAACACTTACCTAATCTTAGAATACTTAAAATCTCATCTGAAGTATCCTATTATAAAGCTTTACCTTCTAAACAGTTCCTATCGCCGGCGATGCTCTCGCTCTGTTCTTCTTTTCTTTTTCGAACTTCTCTATTGCGCGCACGGAGAGATGGGGAAGGGATCAGGAGAAATGAAAAAGGCTTGTGTGTTTTAAAATGGGTGTGGGTCCCATGGCAATAATTTACACCACTCTTCCGCCTCCCATCTCCTTTTCTTTCTTTCTCTCTTTTTTTTATATAATATTACACAGTACACACACACCAACGTCTATATTCCTTCTCCTTTTTCTCTTTTTTTTTAAATACAATATTGCACACTACACACACACCCCAACGTCTATATCCCTTCTCCTTTTCCCTTTTTTTTATATAATATTACACACTACACACATGTACAAACGGATGAAGTCCGTTCCCAATTTTTGTTTATTTCATTCATAACCCTTTTTTTCTTTTAATGATAATGATAATAATTCTATTTTCTAAAAATCATAATTTAGAATTTGAATTTATGCTAAATTAAATCCAATAATAATATCCTAACTAAAATTATTTATATCTAAATATTCCTTCAAAATTACTCATTTACCCTTGATTAACTTAATTAATCTTGGGTTAAATTTTGGGATGTTACATATTGCCTGCAATTTAAATTCAAAAAACATAAATCACACCGACAACAGCTTAAAGTCAAGTGCACATCAAATAGCATATAGGCTGCAAATTATAATAACAATAGAATCATTAAATTACATAACTTAAATAAGCATGTGGTTATGTAAAAATAAAAGAAAATAAATGGATAGCATATTTTTGACTTTAACTGAATAAATAAATAATTAAACATTGATAAAAGAAAACAATAATAATTATAATATTAATAGCACTAGTAGTATATTCGGAACGGGACGTCGGGATGGTGATCACATGTCACTTCTTACAAAGTATTGACCTAATTTTTTTAGGTCAAAACAAACATGTCCTAATATGGTTGGGATAAGATTGGATCAACCAACCTAATGAAGCATAAACACCCTCAGCAATATCATTTGTTTGGTACTCTTTCTCTTGAAAAATATAAGGCATTCTTTGAAGTTAGATATTCAAAAATATAATTTTTTTCAACATGCAACTAATGAGTCCTTTTTTTAAATGTTCTTAATAAATAAATCACTCAACATTTCACCTTAAGTGAGGCACCCTATTAAATAATGTCAAACGTGAAAATAAGGTGTTTGTTTAAAGACAACTAATTAACTTGTTGGATGTAACATCATGATTCTTAACCCTTCAATTTAATTGAGGAATTATGTCTAATTGAGGTTACTTGAGGACAATTAATTATCAAGGCATGTATTTATAACTTAAGTTGGGTCTAGGAAAGAGAATTAAGGCTGTTAGGAGTCCAGAATGGGGTTTTGGGTTGGATTTAGGGCCCAATTACATTGGTCATATATAGAGTCTTGTCTCTGAATTATGTGTCCAATTTTTTTTAAAGCTCACGACAACTCTAAAAAATAGAAGGAAAGGAAGGAGGTGTTGTTAGATGTAAATAGAATGCTTTTTGCTAAGATTTAATGAAAGGCATAGAAGGAGCATGTTTTGGAGAATTTAATTACTAAGATAACCTCTTCTAACCTCTCTTCTACCCTATAATCTTCATTTTGAGTTTGTATTTTAGATGAAAATGGGTAGGGTTTTTGGTTATGTGAGGTCCTAACCATGAGTTTGAATTTATAGGAGTGTTTGAGGATATTCAAGTGCATTTTCATCAATGGGTGATTTTTTTATGATGTTAGAAT